AGGCAAGTTCCTATACATTCTGCGCCTCATATTCTTCATCTCAGAGGACTAAAGGAATAGGCCTGGTCTCTCCAAGTCCCCAGCTTAGATACATGCTTAGGGATCTAATTACTGAATGGGGCTAGTATTCACCACCACCCAGAAGTTAAATGATCCAAGACCAACCTCTGCTGCTTCAATTACACACACACACACACACACACACACACACACACACACACAGAGAAAGAGAGAGAGAGAGAGAGGGAGGGAGAGAGGGAGGGAGGGAGGGAGGGAGGGAAGGAGGGAGAGAGAGAGAGAGAGGGAGAGAGAGAGAGAGAGAGAAATAACTTTCTATAAATTATCATCAAGATGGGGATTCTCTCAAGCCTATGGCAGGTTTGAGGTTGTCCAAGAGAAACACCATCTGTAAAGCAGATTTTCTCTCATTAACATGACCTGCCCAAGTCGTACCTGATTGTTTTGAACTTAGATAGTGTAAGAAGGCACTTTATAGTTTCCAAATGATTGGAGGCTTTGGCAGCTGCTGTGGAAACATGAGAAAAGGATGTCAAGCACTGCTTTCCCACATGCAGAGGAAAAGGTGTATGGAGTATTAAATAATATGCTTTATACAAGAATTCACCTTACCTAGCAGGAACAAATTTCTTTGCTGAAAGAGAAAGGAAACTATCAGTTTGGACTAGTGACTTCTAAGCAAATCCGATGAATTTACTTGACTCATCCGGTCTCATACTCTCAGTATTGCAGGACTCTGTAATAAGCATTTGGGGGTGACGAAGGTAAAATGAGAGGACAAAACATCCAAAGACCAGAGCAGCTTTGACACCAGGAAATAGGGGCATGCTCATCTTGCCTGATTCTACTTCTAAGTTCTAAGAAATCCAAAATTCATACTTTTACATGGAATTTCCCAAAGTCTAAATTTCAATTTTTAATTCAAAAACATTTAAATAGTCTGTAGACCAAAGGGACCATGGGTATGTTTCCTATTCCAGCATATGTGTGTGTGTATATATATGTATGTGTATGTGTAAATGTATATGTGTGTGTATATGTGTGTGTATATATATGTATATATATATATGCATATATATATATATACATATATATATAGTCCTGATATATTCCTGATATATTATCCTGATTATGCACACACACACACATTTATAAATCTAGATTATTTCAAGCAATGTTCTCAGTTACTTGAAAGCATTTCATCCATTCTCCCAATAGAATAGTGGTATGACTCTATAATTCTGATTGAACATCGCTGAGGACACCATGGAATTTTATGTGAGTCGTGGCCCCTACAGGTCAAGCAGAGTTAACACAGTCAACATGGGTTTCTTGAAAATTTCAACATCAAATTGATTAATAAATCCTTGTCCTGAAATTTTTGCTTGATTCCATTGACATTTAGTGGGCCTATTTAAGAAGTAGGTTCTATTCTCTAGATTCTGGTAAAAATTTCAAGAGGCTATAGGGGAGAAAAGGACATACATACATACATACACATACACAATTTTCAAATTCCTTGTTGGAGTGGATGCTTGAATTTACCTTTCTTCCAAAAGTATCTCATCAACAAGTAGAGCAATGAGGACAATGTCAGGAGTGAGGTTCCTGCCGCAGAAAGTGCAACTACCAAGGGACGGTCAGGGTAGGCGGGGGCTGAGGAAACAAATTGGGAGGAGAAAGTGTAAGCAATGCTTGGCTTTTGTGTCTTTTGCCCTGACATTTGGCCTTTTCTCTGTATATTCATTACTATCAGCAGAAGAACCACAAAGCAGAGGTGGCATTGAAGATTTAATCTATGAAAATTATGCCTAATAAGGGGCAACAATTAGCAAGAATATGGTCCCTCCGTGCTGGTCTGATGTGCAGAGTGAGGGTAACCAAAGAGCATGGTGTGGGCCTTGAATGCATCCACGTGGTGCCAGAAAAGGAAAGAGAAGCAGCCTTCCATGCAGGGTTTGCCTGCTCTTAGCTTGAGTTTGACATTGTGGCTTTTTTGCCCCTAAAACTCATTCAATACTAAATTTAGCTCTAACAATGCTAGAATTGGATAAGGGAAGCTGCTTGTCTGAACATTCTTGTCTTTGCTATAAAGAGAATTAAACTGTATTGCTTCCATTCCCGTATCAAAACAATCCTTGTAGGTGACAGACATCAAGCTGGGGGAATTGTCATCACTGCTAGCTCTCAACTTCACAAGCAGGTGATACAATGTGAAGTTGGAGTGTTTTCATTGTTCTGAATTTGACATTTTAAACAGGATTTCCCATATGTTATTAATTCTTACTCTATGCCAAGGCTGGTAAATTAATATTATTAATATACTCTAGTTTAGAAACAAAAGAAAACCATTTCCATGTTACTTGCACACAGGCTTCCTGGCCATGCATTTTTTTAAATCAATGGCAGAGGTATATCTCTTGACCTCACAATTGGTATCTATAGTTAACAGAAGACACATGATGTCATTGCCTGTGGCCAAGATAGAAGATGACAGGTTGGTTTTTTGTTTGTTTGTTTGTTTGTTGTTTTTTGTTTTTTTATGAAAGCCTTAGAAGAGATGGTTTCTTACTCACCTTTGCACACTGGGATTTGTGGTGTCCACTGCCCTTGTGCGTTGCATTCAACTCGGGCTGGCCCCTGCAACGTGAAACTTGGCTCACAGGTGAAGTTGCACCATGACTTGAAGGTAAGTTCTCTAGCTGTTGAGTTGCTGCAGCTCACGGAGCCATTCTGAGGCTGAGGGATGACGTCACAGGTCACAGCTGTAACACAAGCACCCCTTCCGATTTAGTAAAGCTGGCCTGCCCGTTTCAAGCCTTGGAGGAAGAGAATGCAATGAATCTCAGCCTGGAAGAACTCTCTCTACCTTCGCATGATGGCGTCTCATTGTCCCAGATGCCAGATGAGGTGCACTGTAAATTCTGAGCTCCAACAAGCCTGTACCCTTCCTCACAGTGAAACGTGCATGTCGTGTTCCATGGGTAGCTCCCAGGATTTGAGGAACACTTCCTGACTCCATGGGCAGGGTCGGTCAAAGTTTCACATTCAACCACTGAGGAGATGAAAGAGAGGAGAGAGTTTTACTCAAAGAAAATAAATGCTTTCAATTTCTCTTGAGTTAGGGTTTATCAAAGAAGGTGAGACTGTCTTCAAACTCCTGTGCCAGTTCTTCATAACATACAGACCCATAACGGATGCTTTAATCTTTACTGTACTCTTCATATTTTCATTTTCTCATTTATTTTCACTTTGACTATGATGGGTGGTCTCTGATTTATTTTACTACACATAAAAACAACAAAAACAAAGAAAACAACAGCCTCTAGATCAAGATCCATGACTTGGTGTAAAAGCAATATTAGCATACAAAAGATCTGAGCAGTGAATCTTTTTGATTGCTCCAGAGAACTGAGATTGTTGTGCAAAGAGAAACTCCAGGGCCAATACAGAGCTAAAGAAGGCCTCATTGCCCGGGACAGCCGGACAGGAAAGTCAGTGAGAAGGTCCTGTCTAGACACGTTTCCACTGTCTCTACCTTCCTCTACATGTCACTAGAATCTCAGAAATACTCATTTTTAAACAAACGAAAAAAGTGGAAAAATTCTATGCTAAACCAAACAGGCACCAGAGAGAGAACACATTTTCCACAGAGTTGGGTAAAGTTACATGTTGGGTAAAATCAAAGGCAATGAAGAAAGGTGAAAAGGGTTGACAACTTGGGAGAATTACCATGGCAGGCTGGAGCAGGCACACTCCACTCTCCAGAGGACATACACCTCATGGTCATCTCCATGCTGCTGGGCAGGTAGCCCATTTCACAGCCAAGAGAGCAGGAGGAATTGTAGTTGAAGAGGCCAAACGGGTGGGTGCAGTTCAGGTTTCCGTGGTCAGGTTGTTCCTGTGCTTCACAGGTCACAGCTGAAAAAAAGAATCAGGTCACACTTCTCCTTACCTCTCGCCTTTCATTTGAGAGAGGAACACTGGTCCCCACAGTCATGGCTCACTGAACATTTGCTGTGGTTCAGGCTCTATAGAACCATTAGACTATGGAGCTGTTTCTATTATTATCTTCGTAGTTCTCTGGAACCAAAAATGCTAAGCCGTAGCTAGTTGCCACATGATGTTATTTAATTTCATGACAACTGTGATAGTCAGTCACCCTATAAGACTACTTTGTCAAGGTGCCATAAATAATATGGGTAGTACGTCTGGAGTCTAACCCAGGCAGGGCTGATCCCATAGTCTCGGCTACGGTATCACGCTTACTCGGTGTATTCAGGTAGAGGAAACACATGGGCCTGACTGACAAGCCGTCGGGAGCATGGAAGGGTGTTCCCATCTTTAGAGAGGGAACTGGTGAGGTCAAGACTTACTTTGCTCACAGTTGGGTCCCAGGAAGCCGGGGTGGCACTTGCAGGTGTAACTATTGATGGTCTCTACACATTGACCATGACCACTGCAGGATGTATTGGTACACGAAGCTACAGAAAACACAGTCCATATTATGGACAACCAATTATTATGGTGCTTATCATGAGTTTGTTTTTAATTTAGAATGAGTGCAATCCAGTCAATACCAATGACATTAGTGCTGGAAATTTTGACTGACATGCCATATCTAAGTTCTAGGCTCATCTGTTGTATATTTTGGTGAAAATAAATGCACATCAGTAGAATGCAAACAAACAACTAAAACACCTATTTTATGTGAATATATATATACATATATATATTCTGTATATTAACAGAATTACATATATATGTATACATATACACATATAAGTTTGCGTATATGTATAGCTGTTGCCTTTACTCACATAAATTAGTACAAAAAGATGTAATTACTATTAAAATTGCTTATAATCATCTCTTTGAAAAAACAAAATGTGCAGAGACCAATTACTTTATACATTCTAAATCTATCAGGCTGCCCCCACACAGAACCAGACTTCCACCTCGCAGAAACTTCATACCTGTGTAGCACAGAGCCAGTTTTGGTTTCTCACATCTCTCGTCATTCCACATGCCCGAGTCTTTGGGTCGTTTGATGTAGATCTCTACACAGTCTTCATTATTTTGCTTGTTGTTTGGTTCACCTGGTGCCCAGTTCTTAGCCTCCTCTGTCAGAGGCTTCTGGGTCCCCACCCAGACCCATGTGTTATTGAGTTTTCTGATTCCAATCCAGTAATAATTTGGTGAATGTTTCAGACTGGAGTTTAGGTATTTGATCTCTTCTTTGTTCTGAATCGCCACAAGATGTGTGTACTCCCGCTGGCAATATGCACTGGCTTCATCATATGTCATGAGCTCACTGGATGCATTGTAGTACCAAGCTGTGCTCTCTCCAGTGAGGAGAACTGGGTTGGGTCAAGAAGGAAATAGCAAAGTTTAGTCCTGACTTGTGCTGTCTTGCGTTTGGCTTATAGGGGCCTTTGTGTTGGTTCGAACTATTGCTTATAAAATAAGAAGAGCATATGAAGGGGCTAGCATTTCTCTCCATCACTGTGTGACTACACATCTGCTGGTGCCTCATCACAACCACAATGTTATACTCCAACTTCACAATACAATGGAAGTCAGAGAAAGCAAACTTCATTGGATGCTAAGTGATACCTGCTTGAGCCCCCTTTCAGGAACCAAAAGAATGAATCTTCACAAAGCCTGAATAGACCATTTAAGATCCATCCTTCCCAACACAAGGCAGAACCCTGCAGGGAAATGTCGGTGGTCCTGCTAACCACCATATAAGGCACAGAACAGCCCACACACAACAAAATACCCTGTTCTTAAAAGTCAGTGTGGTAAGGATGAGAGTTCCTGGTCTCCCATGAATCCAGCTTACCAAAAGCAAGAGCAGAGAGAAAGTGTGAGGCATTCATGACTACAGCCGTTCCTTTCATTCAGATCTTAGGCTGGAGAAACTTTCCTGAGGAGAGAAAGTGTGGAATTAGTCACAGAACAAAATTCTAAGTGTTGGTTACTCACACCCTTCTATCATAGCATTTAAGTCAAAACTGTGAGGCTTTAGAATCCTGTAGCTCACCCCTTATTTCAGAAGCATCTAGCATGGAGAATAAATGCAAAGTTTAAGATTTCCATCATTTTAAACAAAAAGAAGAGGTAGGTTTTAATTACAATGCTGTAACCATTTAGATTGGTCTTTTTATCAGAATACCTTTTTTGCATATGTGCGAACACATATAAATCTATGCTTCCAGCCCAAGGCTCCTCAGGCTCAGAATCTGCACTTACTGTTTGGTGGAATGGTTGTCCAGATGATGGATTCCTTGGGTGTATGGCTCCTGCTTCTATTTCCCTCTGTTCTTGCAGGTTTGGTGTGTAGTCAGTCGAGGACCACTGAGTACTGCTTCTGCTGGAGCCTCTTTAAAGGGGAGCTGGCTTCCTGTGAGTCATAGGACATTATTATCAAAATCTGGTGAAGAGGAAATCTTTGCCACATGCAAAAAGTTTTCTGGGAATATCAACCTAACTTAAAACACTTTAACAGTGATGTCAGAAACTCTGCCCCTGTAAACTAATCCTTTTACTGGGCTTTTATAATTTGTATGCAGTTTTATCAAACATGATACAAGTGTGTGATGTTAATTCCGGTGTTATAAAGTCTAATTACCATTATCAATCACATGTAGAACTTGGTTTCACAAACATAAGCAAGCTAAGAGTGTTTTATTGTCCATGATCTGTCGCTCTCAATTTCCTTGTGTATATCTGTTGCTTATGCATCAGCACCCAGTTTCTGCTCAGTCATTGCTACCTTAGCCCATCCTAACAGGCACTGTGGGGCAGGGGAGGCATCATGAGCACGTTTTTTCTCATGTTCTATTCATTAGCTATGATGACATTACAAAAAAATCTTCCTTTATATATTCTAAGTAATATCTTGTTTTTGTACAATTAAATTGGAGATAAAACCTTCTCCTTTCCAGCCATCTTTCATTTTCTGGATGTTGACACTGTCTCAATCCCTCATCTCTGCTTTCTTATCTAAATATAGTTGTTATTGTTCAGCACATGAAGAAATATAACTCACCTCTAGTTAGATTCGTGAGCATTTTTAGATATAATGTGTATGAAGCCTCTTTTATTTACAAATATCTTCAACCACTTGCTCTTATCTTCCTTACACTGAAATCTCTATCTAAACCTTTTTTAGGGAGGATTAAAGCAGTGAAGTTGTGTTCATACAGAACCTGTCTATCTACCTACCTGTCTACATATCACAATTACAGGTGTGCATCTAATGCTTTTAAAAGCATAGTTAAGTAAGTGTGCCACATGCCTGTCAGCCTGGCACTTGGGAGGCTGACACAGGAGCTTGAGCCCACCCTGAGTTCCAGCCTTGACTAAAGTGTGAGACATCATCTCAAAATAGAAGATAAATGTGCATAACTGAAATCTTGAAACAAAATTTATGTGGTATGTTGATTAAGTACCCTACGATTCTGTTCCAAATTAGTCATAAACAGCCCTTAATCATACACTAGCTTCCATGGATTTTTCATAACTAGATTTCTTGTTTCAATAGTGTAGCACAGTATCTGCAGTGACACCACAGTACCTACATAATGACCCAGACCTCTGATGTAACCTCTCAGGTGCCGAGTGCTTCCTCTGTGGTACACTTTATTCATGTCATGCTCATCTGTGTTGATTTTTAATTCTATCATTTCTAAAATGTGTACTCTATCCCTGTCGCACAGATGAAGGGATTAAGGAACCAGGTTTTATCTATCTATCTATCTATCTATCTATCTATCTATCTATCTATCCATCTACCTATCTATCTATCTATCCATCTATCATCTATCATCTATCTATCTAATCTATTTATGTATCTATCTAACCAGGTTTTATTTCCTCCAACTGCAGAGATACATTGTTGAAACCCAGGCAACTGATCTCCAGGTCCCTCTCCCTTGCCCAGATCCCGATGCCTTCGGTTGTTATGCCCATACTGAAGTCTATGCTCTTTCTCACTCCCCAGTCTTTGCTTTCTTCTTCCTGAAGCTTCTTGATCACTGAAGTTCTCTACCAAACGGTGTGAGGCTTGGGGGCAGGAAAAAGACCCAGGACAGTAAATAACAGGGAAGGGATGCCATGGGGAGAAATAGAAAGGAAGTTGGAATGGAAAAACAACAAGCAAGGCAACTGTGCCCTGCCTGGAAGGAGTGGCTGACTCTAAGCCACATTTGCCAAAAGATCCTGATCAAAGGTAAGCTTTCTCTAAGGCAAAAGAGCAAAATGTGTGCTCTAAGATTATACTGAAGGAGCTTTAGGTAGAGACTTCAATATCAGAAAGAAGTGTAAGAGCGAGTGGTAGAAGAGATCTGTAAGTAAAGGAGGCTTCATGTGCATTCTATCTAAAGATGCACACAAACCATTAGAAGTGTGTTATTCCACATCCACTCACGCTAGCATCCTGCCTTCCTCCAAGATACTTCCTATGTCTTGCCCCTGAGGCTGGACCTGAAAATCCTGTAGGTGGATAGTGGGAGCTGACAGCCTTGCTCTTGCTGCTCATAGTGCTGGAGAAGCCATAAGCAGACGCCCTGAGGAAGTTCAGGACAAGAGAGGGGATTATTGCCAGCCTTCTGTAACTACCTCATCTGGCTCATTCCTCTGAGCAGCATTCAGTTTTGCTGTGGTTGGGGGAAGGTAAATTGAAAAGGAAATTAAATGAGACTTGAATAGTTGTAAGGCATTAGATATTAATTCCCTTCAAATAATACAAACCTTGTAAGAAACAAGTGACTGAGAGGTACCTGAGTCTGTACTGTCTCCAAACTCTGAAGATGTAGCCAGTTTTCTCTGAACTGTTTAGTTTTTGACCTGGGATGACAGAGACCCCTTGAGGATCTCAGTCTTGGGAGAAGGAATGGCATGCAAGGATCTGATCAATTAGAGGAAAGAAGAGGATGCGGACACGGGCACACCACAGGCTGCTCAGCGGGTACCTCAGATCCCTGCTACGTTAGCACTTTACTTCAAGTGCTGTACAGTGATGGTTTTAACCACTTCAGTATTCCTGAGGGCGGCAGGGTCCGACAGAGGATGTGGGGTCACGAGACAAGTGCTAGAATTCTAATTAAGACTGTCCTGTAGAGACAGCAGATTGTTGGGTAAGGTGGAAAGTAGCCCTGGCCATAACCACATATGAGAAGTGAAGCGCCCCCCTTTATTGCTGTGTCAATTAG